ATGGAAAGGGTGAAACCCCGGTGCTGATAAAAGGAATGGGGTACTGGTGCAGAGACCCAGTGTTGTTTTTTTTCTCAGGACATACGGCTTTGGAACTATAGGTGCATTGAAAGCATGCTTCCTAAAGCAATAGTTTTAAATATATGTTAATGAGAGACGTGTCCAGTTTTCAAAGCTGTATCTTTGCCAGATATAGGCAGTGTCCTTCTCAGAGGGATGAGCCACACGAGCTGTTTTCCACCCTGAGCCAGGCGGTACAGCGGGCGACAGGCCTGGGCTGGAGAGCTGAAGCTATTGCATTATACCTCTGCTATTTCTTTTTGTTGTAGTATCGTCCCTATAGTGGTTTGCTGACAAGTTGTGTGTTTTACAGATCAGGTTTGCTTGATGAGGAATCCTTGCTTAAAATCGTATCTAGGATAAATCGGATTTGTAAATCAGACCTTATGGTTCCTATTGGAATGCTAATGATCTCGGGGGGGGGGGCTTGGGTTTTGAAAAGAAATCTAAGCTAATGCTGAGGGTTCCTGAATCAGCTGTTAATATAATGAAAACTCATGTTTAAGGCCCCTTTCAAAATGTAAAAACTTGTCAGGCACTCCTCAACCAAGGCTGTTTGGAACTGCTGAAACATGTGGACTCACCAAAGCATCCTTTGCAACACCTGGCCAGATGTCTGCTGTTACAGTACACCAACTCCAGTGCTGTCAGTAGCAATGAAAACCGGAGCATAATTTGGCTGGTCATGGTTCAGATGTATTTGCTGCATAGATAACTATGCAAGGCAGTTGTAGCGCCCAGCGTGCTTGGCCCTACTGAGGGAGCAAGAATGACTCTTGTCTCAGTTATGGTAGGATAATAAGTTCCCACAACAGTGGGAATTTGCTCATTTTGAATAAGTGTTCACACATTTTGAATAAATGTTCAAATAGTCAAAATATATCACACATGTATAGAGCTTTGAACACTTTGCATTCGTACTAGGTGTGAGAAGGGAGGTGTGTTTCACAAAACCGCTCTAACTGAGGAAGCAGAACAGGAGAAGCCAGAAGAAAAACATGGGGCTCTGACCTCTCTTCCCTTCCAATCTAAGCTAGTCTCTGTTGCTACCACCAACAAATTTCCATGTGAATTAGTAATGTTAGTAACACAATAATGTAGGCCTTATTCAGCGGTGATAGCTGGTGGCATTTTAGCTGCTGCATCATCTTGATCTGATGAAGATCAACACAAAAGTGAAGTGATTAAGACACCAGCAGCTGTGTTGATGCTTTTACTGGTACTAGCTGGCCATTCTACAGAGCAAAATCCTCTTGTAGGTTCAACACTAGCACGTCCTCCATACTTCCTGAGGAAGAAGGAAGCTAACAATTTCTGTGTCTTAAAAGGTACTTTGTATTCAGTTATATAAAGATACCTGTAGCACTACGCATAGACCTTTAGATAGAATCTAAGAGGAAAGAGACATTACATCTGCCAAGTTTCAGGCCAAAGCAGGATTTTATAGCCGGATTGCAAACCCCTAGGATAGGGCTTTATAATGGAAATGCTGACTGTTTTGTATGACTCCAGTGGGTATCAGCTTAAATTCTGGTTATGATGTGCATTTAATGGCATGGGATCAAACATATAGCGTAATGGGATATTTTAAGATACTGTGTTTGAAGAGAATCGGTATTTAAACATTTACAAACCATATCACTTAAATGCTTCTGAAATGTGCCATTCAGTCCTTGGTTGCATGAAAAAGATTTCTAATCACATTTCTCAGAATGAATAGTAGCATAGTTTTCTTCCACAGCTTTAAGGCACTTCTGAGAAGTGGGTTGGTATTATTTTGTTGAACCCTTACTGGAATATTTCTGGGAAATAAAGGTTTTCATTTTTCACTGTGAAGCCCTTTAATTCCTCATTTCAGCCTTTTGAGGTATATTCTGATTTTGCTTGGAGAAGAACTTTGAAGATTTTTTCTCTCCAGTTACCAGTGACTCTCTAAGAAGACAGCAGTTACTAGTATTTGCTGCGTTGTGCTAGACTAATCTGCTTTTTTCTTATGCAGTATCTTTCATATATTTCAAGTTAAGCTGATAGCATAACAGTTCTCTCTCTCTTTCTCTCTCAGACATACACAACCTAATACACTTTTTTCTTTTTTTGCTGAGAAAGTGGTTGCTCCAAAACGGAATCTGACGTTCATTAGTTGTGTAGGTTGACAGGAAAACTTGCTTTAATGAAGATGATGACTAGAACTCTCACTGCTTTTACTGCAAATGGGAACATAGCGTTGAAAACGGCTAGTTTTGCTTATTACTCAATTGCCGTCTGGAACATAAAGCCATATACTTTATCCTAGAACAAAAGCTTCTCCTTCAACTGTTATTTACTGAATGCTAACTGAAATTGTTTCAGTGCAGAAGGTTAGGAAGTTTCAGAGCTAATCCTAATAAGTTTGTGTAATAGTTCGAATTTATTTTTAATTAATCAGTGATAATCTGTGTGAAGATCTCAAAGCACTTTGATACCATAAAAAATGGAAACAATCTTTGGAGAAGTGCCAGTCCGACTAAGCCAAGGAGACTCTGTCACTGGTTTCTGTTAAGCCAGAGCTCCACTCCCGCCACAAGCCCGTCCAGCCAGGAACAGGGGAACCACAGTACTTTGCTTTCAGAAATTGCAATAGCAGAGTCACGGTGTCAGTCCTGTGGTTTGCGCTGGTTCATCTTTGGGATAATCCTATTTCTCCTGTTGAGTATGCAGTGTGCAGTCTAGAAGAAGGGCTTGGGCTTTCATCCTGTAGTTGACTCATTTGTACAATTTTTGAGGAACATAGCTATAAAAAAGACTCCCCAGTATATTTTATTTCTGACATTTTGTGAATCACGGTATTTTTTAAGCTTCCTTTATATCTGAACACCTTTTCAGGGAATATGGAAATTATATGATTTTCATCCTTTAAAAAACAAGTAAAAACTGATGATATATTATGAATGACTAATACCCGGAATTCCAATTAGTTCAGCAGTTGACAGAAAATTAAACTTCTGTCTTAATCCTGTGGTAAGGTCTGAATTATTTAATTGCCTCATTCCACATGGTTCTTATAGGCGTGCTCTTTTTTTTTTTTACTTTTGGCAGAGTCAAATGACACAAAAAGGTACTGTAGTTCTCTTGAATTTATAGGACTTTATAGGAAAAATCAGTAGTCTGAAAAGACACTTCACATTATTTAATAATTTTGCAGCAGCCTATCGTTTGTTTGACAAGAAATAGAAAATATTGAGATGTATATCTCAAGAGCAGAGTTCCATAATGAAAATACCTATATATATGCTTTGAACGTACAAGCTGCACTACTTAGGACTTTTGAAATTTGCTAAGAGCATTTTTTACAAGTGCAGTCGTTTTCACTAACTTTCCTGCTTTCCATTTGGATGAAGTATCATCTGTCACCACTCAATCATTTTTTAAGCTATTAAAAAGGCATGTAATTTTAATTTTTGTGGCCCATTAGTGTGCAAATGCCATTGGGCTTGTTTAGCCTGAACTCATGGTCTAAATTCAAATCCCTCTGCTTTTGAGGAGACTGTTCACCATATTTTAGAAACAGAGCCATCATAATCTAAAAATCAAGATATGAAAATAACTAGAAACAAGTATTATTTAAAGATACTCCACAGGGAGCAGAAATGGGTACAAAATTTTTCCAAAGCAATACAGTGAACAAAACACAGAAATATGATAAAATAACGTACAGCCTGATAAAGTTGAAATCACAATTTCATGATCTCACTAAACCTGGGGACAAAGAATCCCAAAAAGCTAGAAAAGCAGAAAGCATTAACCTTGACTGTACTTTGGAGAATATGTAGTATTTGGATAGTCTCTTTATTATTATTATTATTATTAATAATAAACTAATTTATTTAGATGTATGCATTCCTTAAAAAAAAAAATAAAAAAATAAAAAAGAAGTGGAAACAAAAAACTTGAGGGTGGTCTAAGATGTCTGTCTTCTTTATGTAACCTTTTGCATTTTGTGTTTAAGAACTGACATTCCAAATGATTTTCTTTGGCTTCATGCCTGGACTGAATACTGAGGCAGCAAATTAGGAATGCTTAAGAAGTCCCACAAAGAAAGATATTTGCTGTGAAAGTGCAGCTAATGTGACACTTGCACTGGAAGCATCTTAGGCTACTCAAACGATAAAAGGTGGCATGGCTCTAGGTGGTGTGAGGGGAGTGAATGAAGACTGCAAGTACCATTTGCTGAGCTATGCAAGGTGTTTCTTGTGGCCAGTTATCTGCCACTGTGACTACACTGAACACTACCTTTTATTTCTATTCCAGGGGCTAACTTCGTTACTCGAAAAATTAGCCGATCGGTAGCAAAGATTCACCTTGGACAGCTGGATTGCTTCAGCCTGGGCAATCTGGATGCTAAGAGAGACTGGGGCCATGCCAGGGACTATGTTGAGGTAAGCTGTGGGCCACGTGCCTTTTTCTGAATCATCTTTGTGTTGGGGGTAATGCTTATTGCTGTAATTTCAGATCATGGTCCATGGAGGGCTGTCTCAGGATGGTTTTGCCCATCGAGGCCCGTTAACTTTGTCTTGCTCTTGATTTCAGACTAGAGAATTTGGTAACACAGCAGTCTACCCTAGGCATGACCTGAACAGAAAAATAAATCTTTGGGTTTACATTCCTTGACTGAATTCCTTGGGGGAGGGTGCTGACTAAAAAGTGGATCTATTTTAGAGTATTTCTCCTATTGTTCTGACAAATTTTATATCCAATGTTAAGATTTCAGCAAGATGCAATATGACCTGAAGTCAAAGATCCTGTCGGAGGTTGGTGGCCTTTATTATAATGAGGCAAGAATGATGTATATATTAATGATCAAAGGTCTAGCTGATTATACATTAGAAAGAAGCATCACAGCTATGTTGTGATGGCAGATATTGCAACACATGTGCCCGCATCTAGTGTTTGAAATGTTTTCAGTCAGGATTTGTTTCTAATTTTATTCTATGCATCTACTTAAGCAGATAAACAAACAATAGCCCTGTATTGTATTACAAGGAGACATGAATGACCATGTAGGAAATATTGTCTTTACCCCAGGGGACTTTTGTCCCCATTTTGGTGCTTAAAGATTTCCTGTGGTCATTGGTCTATTTCTGTCTTATAATAATTCCTTGCTGGGAAACCGGATTTGGCTCCACCATTCATTGATGTAGTTTAAAAAGATGATGACTGTTTGTTTTGTTTTTCTATATTACAAAGCAAGAAGTAGGAAAAAGTCTGCTTTGGGATTTTTATCATAAATTGAGATTTAAAAGGTAAAATAAAAGCTGAGCTCTCAAATCTTGTTTACAGTCAAAAAGAAACAGCAAGAAAACAAAATTGTAATACCACAATATAAACTTTTGTTATGGATGATATTTAAAAAAGTAAACAGCCATATCCCCTTGGCATCGAAGGGGTTACATCAAGTAAGCAGGAGGGTGACTTTTGGCAGCCTGCTATAAATAAAGTTGACTTTTGGTTCTGTGCTGCATTTGCATGTAAGGTGGTAAGGGCACCATGAATGTCAGCACTATGTCTCCATGACTATTGTTTTATATTTGTGGCTACAGCATTAGTTGAAGCAGTTAATCCAGTAAACCATCCCAACCATGTTTTTAATGGATAAAACTGTAGTCGAGAGTGTTCATAAAGTCAGTTACCAAGTCTCAACTGAAAGGAAGTAAAATACAAGCCAAATGAAATGATCAGTTGCATGAACATAATGAGCATAATTTGCTAGGAGGCATTGGATATTCCATAAATACTTTGGCTATCTCCTTCCAAGACAACTTGCGCCAGATCATAAATCGTGGGATGAATTCTGATGTCTTCTTCCATACGGGAAATCCAGAATAACCCTCTTGTGCCTAGTGGGTCAGACCCTTGTCCTGCGTTCAAACTTTTAAAAATAAAAAGGAAATGAGAACAAGCCTATCCAGAAGAATGACTAGCTTTCAAGGTCTTTGGCCTCCAGAAGGAATGTAGTTGTCCGAGGTCTACAGCACGAACATATGTTTGTTGTGTAAGTAGCATTCCAGACCTTTCAGCTACACGTTTTGGGCCTGTCCCAAAATCTTCTGGAAATAATTCCTCACTAAAATATAGTTCATGTTGAGTATTTTTCTTACCGGAGAGGTACCCCTTCGGATAATGGGAGAGTTATTATCAATTCTCTAATTCCCTGAATATCATGGAAATGTGGTTACAGACAGCCTTCTAATGGCTAAAAAAGAGAGTAACTTTAAACTGGAAATAAACAATTACTTGAGGCTTTAATGGACTGGAAAGTAGGGCTTAGAGATTTAACGTTGTTCAAATAAATACATAGTATGTTAGAAAGCATGATCGTATTTACAAGCATTTGGGGAGCTTCCTTAAGCATATGGTTGAACACATAGGGATATATCTTATCCTCTCCATATGTACTTTTAAATCCCATTGATATTAATACAAGTAACACATGTGCGTATAGACTAGACCATGTACTGTGTTTTCTTTCTCCTTATTTCCTTATTACGGATAATAATAAAACCATAAATACATTCCCTTTTGTTGTTTTATAAAACATTATGGGTCAATTCCTGATCTCATGAAAGTTGATGACCAAACTCCCATTGACTTCATGGAGAGACTGTATCCTGTATGTATTGGAGTGGAGAACGTCTGGTGGTTACAAAGCACAAGCAAAAGTCAGGACTCTTGAGCTTTGATCACATACGTTCATCCGACTGCCACTGTGATTTTGGGCAAATGCTTCTGTATACAGTAAAGCATGGAGGCACGTGTCTGCACTGAAGTGTGTAGATGCCCACCAAGGGATGGGCTGCCAGCGTGCTCAGTCTTAGCTGTGGGTTGAGGTCAGCTTTAGTAGCAGATGATTCAGAAGTCTGGTGTTTAAACATAGGTTCACATCAGGGCAGAATAGTTGGAATATGTGTTTGATTAGGTTTTTGAGCTGTGACTTGAACTGCCACCTGCAGGAACTGAAAAGCAGGAACTGAAAATCAGGTACAGCGGCATTGTGCCAGTGAATGAAAGTCAGGAAGTCTAACTCACTGGAAAGAAAGGTTTCCATTCAGTGTTTGAAGAGAACAAAATATAAATAAGTAGGCAGCAAAAATTTTATTGGGTGGGCAATATCAGAGATGATCAGAGGGCTGTAGCCCCTCTCCTGTGAAGACAGGCTGACAGAGTTGGAGTTGTTCAGCCTGGAGAAGAATCCAGGAAGACCTTATAGTGATCTTCCAGTATCTGAAGGGTTCCTATAAGAAAGCTGGAGAAGGACTTTTTACAAGGGCATGTAGTGATAGGACAAGGGGTAATGGCTTCAAACTGGAAGAGGAGAGATTTAGATTAGATATCAGGAATAAATTTTTCACTGTGAGGGTGGTGAGACACTGGAACAAGTTGCCCAGGGAAGTTGTGGATGGCCCATGCCTGGAGGTGTTCAAGGCCAGGCTGGATGGGGCTTTGAGCAACCTGGTCTAGTGGGAGGTGTCCCTGCTCATGGCAGGGGGGGTGGAACTAGATGATCTTTAAGGTCCCTTCCAACCTAAACCATTCTATGATTCTGTGATTATTAGTTTTATCCTAAAACTATATAAATAACTCAACATTTTTGCAAAAATTGCTGCTGCCTCTTACTCCCCCTTTCTCCATTTTTACTGTACTGTGATCCAACACAAGTCTCATGGTTTAGTATTAGAGATGACGATCAATGCCTCTGAGTTGGAAGAGGAAAAGCAGTATATTAGCGCTATTGATACATGAATCTTTGTCCTGGTTGCAGCAGGGATGGGGTTAATTTCCCCAGGAGCTGGCAGGGGGTGGGTATTTCATCCCATGTGACCCATGCCCGGGCTATAAGAGGCGCTAGCCTGGCAAGGAGAGCAGTCACCACGCGTGGGTGGGCTGCGGTGGTGCGCTGTGGTGGTGCGCGTGTGGGCGCGTGTGGTCGGTGGTGCGCGTGTGGTCGGTGGTGCGCCTGTGGTCGGTGCGCTGAGTGTCGGTACTGTAATTGCATCTTCATATCCCTTTATGGGTGTTATTGTTTTGTTTTCATCTTCCCTTTTGCTGTTCTGTTAAATTGCACTGTTTTAACCCATGAGTTTTTCCCTGTCGATTTCTTTTCCCACGGCTGTGGGAGTGGAGCGAGCGGCTGCGTGGTTCTTTGTTGCCAGCTGAGGCCAAACCACGACACTCTTCTGTGTGCTGTTTTGTTTTGTGAGGGTAATTATACCTTTTGTTTGCTGCAGAAAGTTCTAGTAAACTATCTGCTAGGTATTTTCAAATATTAGTACAATAGCGAGCCTTAACAGTATGACTCATTTCTATGCCATTTATAAAACACAAGCCATCATACACATTTCCTTAGACACTCATCCAAGAGTCTTATTTCAAACAAATACAGATTCTCAGAAACATTTAACTTGGACCATTAAAAAATGCCCATCAATCCATCACTAGTTGGTCAGTTTTTTAATTTCCTACACACTAAATACTGTAAATGAAGTCATGAAGGTATATCTGCAACTGAAACCTTAAAGTGTTGTTCTTGGGACATAGTAGATAGGTTTATTTGTAAAGATGTAAAGGGAAAGCCAACTAATAGAACATAGTCATGTTGGAAAGTGGCTCTGGGAAAAGAGCAAGTTTGTATTAGAGTTTGACAGCTGAGGCTCTTTCTTCCTTTCCTTCAGTTCCTTCTTTATCACCCGCTGATGTTCAGGTTGCCTTCTGCAGTTGCACTGCCCACACCTCAGTGCTGTGCACAGAGCAGGAAGGCTGCACTGATGAATGCTGTGGGAAAGCCGATCAATATATATCTTACAAAAGTTTAAAAAAAACCAAGTCAAAGGTAACAGTTTTAATAGTCTCTAAGTATTCGTTCAGATCAGATGTATTTTGTTTTTTCTTCAACAGAAATCCAGCAGTATTTCAAGCAGTAATTACAGAGGTCTTATAATTGGGTCATAACTGGCTCCAATTCAATTAATTACAGGTCTAGTTAAATGCTTAAAATTGAGCTTGTGCTTAAACTCATGGTGAAAATCAGTGACCATCAAGCAATCAGCTTCCATTAATTTAGATTAAATAATGTAAAAACACCAAAGCAAAATAGAACAGTTTATAAATAAGTAATATAGTAAGTTATTATACAGTCCAACCAAGCACATTAAGAAACTGTTTAAAGAGACACTTTCCATCTTACTTTTTTTATTATTATTATTTGATACTGGTACTGATCATACTTTACTTTGTGATTAAAATGCACAAGAAAATGCAGTCATTTTGCGCATGTTGAAATTGAGATAGTAAAATCTCATCTACAGTGATGTCTTCTGGATTTAAATTTCCAGGCAGCATCACCTGGTCTTTTATTCATGATTCTTCTATTCACTGTTCTAAT